CCGTTCATACATTCACTCATTCTCGTAACAGGAAAATTTGGCAAAAATCCAGGGCGTTCAAGTTTACACGTACCGTTCTAAAAGTTGCAATAATATCAACAACAACAACAACATCAACAACAACAACATCAACAACAACATCAACAACAACATCAACAACAAAAATGATCCATTTGAAAATTCGCCAATCTATGATAAGTAAGCTTTCGATCATTTATAGCGTGTTCATATTCATAATCTTTGTTTCATTTTTTTTTATTTATTCTGTTTGTTTGTTTTTCGTTTGCTTGCTTGTTTCAAAGTAAAACGCTGAAAACAAAATACAACAACATCAACAACAACATCATCAACAACATCATCAACAACAACATCAACAACAACATCATCAACCACAGATCTAAAGATAACATGGAAACATTATCAGACCTAAGTTATGATAACGATAGTCTGGACGAAGCAGATCACGTGATCGATGTTGATAGTAATGATCTAAACAACAAAAACAGCAACAAAAACAACAACATTAGCAACAACAACAGCAACAACATTGTTGAAGATAAATTGCTAGCGACAAAAAGACTTAGCCCAATCGGTTGTGAATATATAATGGAATGTAACAACAACATCAACATCAACAACACAATGAATATTAACAATGATAATGATAATGATAATGTCAACAACAACAGCAACACCAACCAAAACTCATCCCAAAAACCGCAAATAACGAAATCTCTCGCCAGTTTAGTATCTTTGGTTACTACTTCCGTTGATTCGAAAACGGATAGCGGTGCTGATTGTAGTTGCGAAAGTAGAGATGATGATGATGATGGTGGTGATGGTGACAATAACAGCAACAATAGCAATAATAATAATAATAATGATAATAATAATAATAATAATATGTATGGTGATAGCGACTTATATATAATGAAAAATTCCTCATCTTTATTTGAAGCTGATGATGACGACGACGATGATGATAATATTACTAATACTACTATTACTACTACTACTACTACCAATAATAATAATAATGATAATAATAAGAATAATGATTATAATAATAGTAATAATAATAATAATTATTATTATTCCTCATTGTCCCATTCCTTTACGTATTTTCCGGTAGACAAAATGGGAAATCCATTTTTATCATCATCATCATCATCACCGACGACGTCATCATCACCATCATTATTAGCATCACCGACAACTACAGCATCAGCAGAAGCAGTAGCTACAACAACGACATCAGCAGCTACAGCAGCAATGGCAACTACGACAAAATCGTCTTTATCATCTTCTGTGCCTTTACTATCGCAAATTTCATTCTCATCATCTCTCAATAATAACAATAATAATAACAATAATACTTATAATAATAATAATAATAATAACAACAACAAGAAAGGTGATGATGACGATTACCTTCTAAAAATAGGCCTGCCTGGAAATCCCTTGAGATCTAAAAATAGCTTGCCAAAAAAATTTAAGCTTAACGAAAGCTTACCTGCTCGCTTTATACCGTTAAAAATTGATGACGACGACGATGATGATGATGTTAATAATAATAATAACAATAATAATAATAATGATGATGATGACGATGGTGATGAATATAAAGTTATCAATAATAAAGCGATGATATTACTTGATTATGATGATGATGATTGTGGATGTGGTGGTGATGATGATGATAATGATGACGTCCAGAGAATTAGTGTAATTAGTGAAAAATTGAGCCGGCTAAGTGAGAGCTGGGAGAAAAATCTCTTTAAAAGTGAACTGAAGTTAAGACTAAAAAATCAAAACAATGCTTTTAAAAATAGCAGGGACAATAGCAATAAGATTAGAATTCAGTCGAAAAATAATTTATACAACAACAACACCACCAACAACAACAACAACATTAATGACGTCATAATAAACTCCAACATCAGCGACATCATCAACAACAGCATCAACAACGAAAATGACGAAGAAATTAATATTGAAATCCTTCCCGACAACACAAATAACGATGATGCTAGCAATGATGATGCTGCTACTATCGCTACTACTTCTACTACTACTACTACCACTACCACTACTACTACTACTACAATTAATAATAATAAGAATAATAAAAGTGTTAATCATGGAAATGATCTCGACAGATTAATAATTCTTGATCCGAAGAAAGTAAAGAACTTAGATCTAATGTATTTTAGTAGAGAAAAAATTAATAGTGATGATGATGATGTTGCTGGTAATGATGAAGATGATGATGATGATGCTGAAAACATTTTGTGCGGGGCTAGGTATGATAATAATTCAGCAAAAAACGTTTTGTCTTTTTCAAAAACGGCATCATTATCAGCATCATCAACAACAAAATCATCATCATCAACAGCAACAAAATCATCATCATCATCAACAACAGCAACAACAAAATCATTATCATCATCATCAACAACAACAACAACAGTACATGCATTTTCATGGTCGTCATCTTCCTCGTCACCGCTACATCCGCCTCTGCCGACGTCACCGCCACCGCCATCATCATCACCACCGCCACTCATTTTGTCGTCATCATTACTACCACCACCATCATCATCATTACTATCATCATCTATACAATCATCATCATCATCGTCGTCATCTTCTTCTTCTCCAGCAAACTTAACGAAATCATCCTTAAGCGTGAAACCAATAACGCCAGCATGGTCGCCATTACGTATTGGTTATGATAATAATGATAATAATAATAACAAAATTAATAATAATAATAATAAGATTGATGATGATGACGACGATGAAGATGATGAAGATGATGATGACGAACATTTAGCAAGCACAGTAGCCTGTGCGATTGTAAACAACGTCTTCAGCAACATCTTAGACGACTACAAACTACATTTCCCATCTCAAGCCAATGATGATGATCATGATGATAATAATAATAATAATATTATCAATAATGATAATGATAGCAATAATGATAATGATGATGATAATAATAATAATATGGGAAATGACGTCATCAATAAGTTTCTGACTTCGGTCAGCGGACGGATGAAGATGAAGAAGAAGCCAGAAGAACGACCTCACGTGAAAGAAGTTAAATTTAACGACAACGACGATGATGCTGCTACTACTACTACTGCTGCTGCTACTACTACTACTACTGCTGCTGCTACTACTACTACTACTGCTGCTGCTGCTGCTACTACTACTACTTTTACTACTACTAATACTACTACTACTGCTACTGCTGTTACTACCACTACCACTACTGTTGCTAACCCTAACATGAACAACAAAAACAACAATATTAATAATAATAATAACATCAACAACAACAACAATATTAACATCAACAACAACAACAACATCAGTGGCAACTTTCGCAAAAACTTCTACTACTGCTACGACGATGTGAACAACAAGTCAACGAACTGTGATCTAATTGAACAGTCTTACGAAACATCACAACAACAACAACAATGTCATCATCATCAACAACAGCAACAAAATTCCAACAACAGCAACAGTCGACATCCACATGACGAACAACAACAACCACAACAACAACAGTTGACAACAACTAATAACCTATCGAAAACTGAAATACTAAGCTTCGATATCATCCCAATATATCATCATCATCATTATCAGGAAGATTATTATCAGGAGGATCATCATCATTATCAGGAGGATCATCATCAGGAGAATCGCCATCAACAACACCGTCATCTTCCTCTTCATCATCAGCATCAGCATCATCATCCGAATAGTATCAAACTCGTTTCCGGTATCCGCTCTGACGTCACGTATCCATATTGCGATGATGATGATGATGACAATAATAATAATAATAATAATAACAATGATGATGATGATGACAGAGAGGAAGAATTCGAATACTTCGGAATGCAACCGGTTAAAAAACCGTACAAAATGGCCAATAAAAATAAGAAAAAAATAAGACAAATAAAAAACATTGGTGACGATGATGGTATTGATGGCGGCGGTGATGATAACGATAGTAGGGATGTGACGGTCGAGTCGGTATTAGTCGACGACCCGACAGATTCGGTCCTGACTCGCTGCTCCTATTCGATTGAAATATTACCGAGGTTTCGAGCCATCACTACTAACGGTGGTGATGATGATGATGGTTATAACAAAAATAATAATATTATTAATAATTATAATAATAATAATTATAATAATTATGGGTATAATAAATATGTTAATGATCGTAAATACTGTACGTCCTATAGCAAGGGTCTTGAAGTTCACGAGGGTATTGATAATGAAGATGACAATCATCATCATCGTCGTCGTCATCATCATCATCACGAAAGCGATGATGATAATGATCATCTCAAGCGTGGTGGTTATGTTTATGATGATGATGATGATGATGTTATTAAAATAAAATTCGACAATGATGATGATAGTGTTGGTCATGGCAGTAAAACAATTTCTACAGCTGGTATTAATAATTATAACCGTACTAAAAATAATTATAACGGTACTAGAAATAATTATAACGATACTAAAAATAATTATAACGATACTACAGATAATTATAACGATACTAAAGATAACTATAACGGTACTAAAGATAACTATAACGGTACTAAAGTTAATTATAACGATACTAGAGATAATTATAACGATACTAAAGATAATTATAACGGTACTAGAGATAGTTATAACGATACTAAGAATAATTATAACGATACTAAAGATAATTATAACGATACTGGCGTTTACGATAATGATGGTGATGATCGTGATGATGACGACAACATCAATGATGAAACTGTTGCAGAGAGTAATGTTGTTGTTGGCAGTATCGATAAAATAAGTACTGGTTTATCATCACTCGGTAACGATAATGATGCCGATGATGCCGATGATGATGATGATGAAGACGATATTGATGTTATGAAATCACGTCAACGGCAGCAACAGCAGCTACAGCAGCAACTTCAACAGCTGCAACTACAAAACATTGCCAGCATGCAGTCTACAGAATTAATGTCAGATACATCAGCATTTGAGCTTCAGCCAATACAAACAATCACATCAAAACTAACAACAAAGACAACATCAATAACATTAACGCAAACAGACTTATCAACAACAACAACAGCAGCAACAACAACAACAATAATGACGTCACCGTCACAAACAAGGTTACATACAGCAACAACAACAACAACACCATCAAAATCGACACAGAAGTCAACGAAACAACAACAACAACATTTACAAAAACCCGCGAAAAACTATAGAACACCGAAATCCCCAAAGATGTTTTTAAAACCGCCATCAAACGCCTCATCAAGCCTCTCAATATTATCCGAACTGAGTCGAAGCGATGAAGATCTTCTGGGGGAAAACAGTCATTTGTTCGAGGGCCTACTTCCGGTTTACAAAGATCTGCCCCCGCGTCATAAGAATCTACCCGCATCTAATCAAACTTATGAAAATCTACCACCAAATTTTCAGCCTTGGCCTATGGAGGACAATGATCACGATACTACTACTGCTGCTGTTGTTCTTGATGGTGATGATAATGATGTCGATTGTAATGATAATGATGTAGATGGTGATGATAATGATGTCGGTTGTGATGATAATGATGTGGATGGTGATAGTAACGATGATGTAGGTGATTTAAAAGCAGCGGATCAAAAATTGAAATCGAAGTCGAAAGATGGCTGTACGCAAACATTACTACGGCCAGCAATGGCTGAAACTGCATATGCTACTGCTGATAGCGTTACTAATTTAAGTAGCAAAGACACTTCTTACTCTGTTGTGCAGGGCAAAAATTTACTGCAGACTCCATTAACAGGGATGTTCTCGTCAGTCGGAGAGTTCGATACAGTCGGTCGAATACACGATCCAAGTCGGTTAGCTGCTGGCCGTAGAGAGGTGAATAAAAACGATTCTATTGACAGTATTACGTTGGTACTTGTCGAGCCGGATAACCGAGTCGGTATCAACTACGTTACCGGCTTTGGAGATGCGCATACCGGTGGTTCGGGACTGGGCAGTCTGAAGAATGTTTCCCATTACGGTGTCAAAGTGGAGTCGATTTTAGACGACGATGTTGATGATGATGGTGGAGAGGAAGGTGGCACTAGTTATGATTACAGAGATTATTATCATCATCATCACCACCACCAAGATGATGATGATGGTGGTGATGCTGATGATGATGATGACCGCAACAGCGAAGATGATGATGACGATTATATTGAAGGTTCTTATAACTTGAACGACACCCATTTTGAAAACGTCGATGACGTTACTACTACGGCTGCTACTACCTCTGCCTCAACTACTACTACCTCTACTACTACTACTACAACTACTACTACTAACTTCCAAGTTGATAATGATGATGATGGCGTTGGTGCTTATGAGGAGGTGGAGGAAGAAGAAGATGAAGTAACTATTCAAGCCGCCAAATCGCGCGAGGTCGATGACGTCATAAGTGATGATAATGATTATTTAGAAGATCGTGATGATGATGATGACGATGATTTGGATGGCGGAGAGATGGCGAGCGATGATGAAGAGGAAGGAGAAGAGGAAGAGAGAGATAACGATGAGGGAGAGAGATCAAGAAATTATGAGGGAAGTAAAGAACCCAGAACGCACGGCACCATCTACTCGTGCGAAGATAACATCTACGTGTGTGACGTAACCAATGACCGTGATGACGTAATGAATGATCGATTCAGTAACTCGTCACATTTTTTGGATTCGAATGATCTAGTGCTTAATGAATTCGGAATGGTGGAAACCGTGGCCATTCCACTTTATGAAGACAGCAAGATGGTGAATGTGGAGAAAAGAATTGTAGTACCATTTGGCGAAAGAATCGACACCATCATACCGACTCGTTTCGAAACCACTTCAAGATACGGATATGGACTTAGTGATACCGGCGATTTTAATACTGCAAATGTTCACAGAGATGTTAGCAGCGATAATATTGGAACAGTTGAAAAGAAATTTGTTGATGTTTTTGGAGGGAATGATGTGCTACAAGATATGCTCCTTTCGAGTACCGAGAAACCGTTACAATTCAGTGATCGGTATTTTATAGAGAATAAAGAAATGTGGATCGGCAGAAGATCAATCGAAACGCAAACTTACCCAGACCACAGAGAAATCGAAACGCAAACTTCCTTGAATTCAGAAAAATCTCTTAAAACCGCAACGATTTTTGTAGAACGAGATTCGGCTATTAAAGAATCGGTGAGTGAAGCCGATAATTTGGACCATCGCTACATACACTCGCCTTATCACGTGCCTTCTAAGGTTGATTTAAACAGAGCTCAATATTTGTCTCTTCAAACTTTCCAGCATTTCAGAGATGGACAGATGTATTTGAATCCGTCAGTGCACCATGTAAAACCGAATTTATCCGGATCATCGTTTTGCAGCGTCGGTGTTAACACTGATTCGAATGAACAAGCAACAACAAAAGTGCCGCTACCAACATCAACAAAATTGGAAGCATCAACAACAGCAACAGCAGCTTCATTGGCGGCCAACGCCACAACATCCATCCATGCATCTCACACTGATTCAACTAAAAATATTTTCACTAAACATTCAGCAGAAGCAGCAGACAAGAAACAAACACACAAATTCAAAGTTGACACAACTCGAGAACAAACCTCATTCGACCGACCAGCAAACCTTAGAGACGCCTGTGTTGGTACTGAAATAAAATCCGACAAGAAACCGACCGAACGATATCTGCACTCCAGGTTTGATTATTCTGAAAAGGTTCAAGAAAAATCAAAGAGGAAGCATTCGTGGAAGAGGGATGTTGAGAGGTTGAGGAAGGAGAGGAAGAAGATAATTGAGTTGTTGGGCAACGAAGTTGTACCCACCAAGGCTCAGGTTGAGTTGGCAGAATGCAGGCTGAATTATTACATCGGGCAGACGGATCTGCTACTGCAGATGACTGAGACTGAAGAGAGGGATGTGTCAGAGCATGGCAGAGATGAACGAACAAAAAGCATGAAGGATTTTAAAACTGCGAGTGAATTTGTCTCACTTGATTCAGATTTCATAAACGAGCAGTGCGATAAGTTTAAACTTTCAAGACAGAGAATAAGACGTAAACTTGCCGAGTTGGACCAATCGGATCGGTTTTACACCGACGATTTTGGTTACACCAACAACGAATACCGCAATATCTACGGATCGATGAATTTGAATTCAAGGGTGAAATATTCGAGAGATGGCTTGTCAAATTACATAGGCAGTGAACAAAACATCTCAAGAAAGTTCGACCGATCCATCACATCATCGCCGAAGAATTTTCATTTTTCTCGCCAGATGGAACGAGGCAACGATAATTACAACGATCATTTCTGGTACGGCACACCGACCAGAGCAAAATCAACTTATGTGGAAAGTTCGAGAAGTTTAAATTCGAAGCAGAAATGCGCCTCTTTCTCGCCGCTTTTCGCCCCAAGATCGACCGACATACCGCGCACATCCCAACTTTCGTTTACAGAAACTCGACAGACATCGCGTCAAAATGTGACCGCTAGTCCATCGATTCCGATTCATTACATACCGACCGATACTCAATACGATACCGACGATTACCGTTCAAATCAACAACTGCCGGGTTATTCATCGAATATAACCGAATCTAACCGCATGTTATCGCCGCCAACATACCGAGAATCGCCAACGGCATGCCGACTTCACGAGCACAGCAGTCAGACTTCGGTAAATAACACAACCCCGAAAAGTTCATACATATACACTGATGATCAACTGAAATCTGACGTGAAAAATTACTTCAGAGAGGAGCCGACCGACCGACCGATACACGAATCATACCGACTCATGATCGATAGTTACGAGGCAAGAGAAAGGGCAAGGCGCGAAATCGAAAAGAGTCTAGAAGCTATGAGAGAAACCGGTGTTTGATTGCTTTCCCTACCTAATTAACCCAACTAATTAGCTAACTAATGGGCCTAATTTATTCAAATAATTTGCTATATTAGAATATAAATTAAATTCACTTTCTCAGCAGACAAAAATTATTTGGTAATTTGTTTTTAAAGAAATATAACAGTTGAAATCACGTAAAAATAATAAAAGCCATCATATAAGTAATGTATTTGTGTGTGTGTGTGTGGGTGTGTTTGGTGTGTGAGTGTGTGCGTGTATGTAAGTGCGACAATTTGTTAAAATTATATCAGCCGGCTGTAGGCAACTAAAAAAATTACAAATTTGAAAAGCAAATAAGTCATTTGAAAAAAAATGATGGATTGAGGGAAAAAGTGAATGAATGAATGAAAGAAAGATGATTGATTGATCGATCGGTGGACGGATGGGTTCTAAGAAATAAATAAAAATGAATGTCGTGTGAGTGAATGATGAACGAATGACGGTTGATTGATCGATAAATGAATGGGTGAATGAATGAATGATTGATTGATGAATGAATAAACGAAAAAAGAAATGAATGAATGATTGATTTACGGAAGCTTCCAGGCAAAAAAGAAGATGCATATGTTGTCTATTTTAAAAATTTATTTTAACAATTGTACAGTGAAAATATACGTGCATGATTTAGACAAATTTTTTTACCCCTTTCAAACATTTTTCCCTCCAAAGTTTAACTCCAATCAATCAATCAACCATTCAATCAGCAAACATTTAATGCGATTAATTAGCGATTTAATTACGATTAATATTTCTAATCCAACTTTTGTATTTTTTATAATGTTCCATTTTTGACCAAAACAAACGCGCATGCATCCAATCATGCATTCATTCATCCATCCATCCATTCACTCATTCATTCATGCATCCAATCATGCCTTCATTCATCCATCCATTCATTCGTGTCATTTATATGTATACATAGGTATCATGATGTTATGTATGTATGTTTAATAGTTAAATTTGTTTCAAAAGTAAAATCGCTTGTGTTATATTCAGGATGATTTGCATTCCAATAATTGGATGATTGGTTGGTTGATTGATTGGTTAGTTAGTAGGTTGGTTTGTTGTTGTTGGTTGGTTGGTTAGTTGGCTAATAGATTAGTTGGTTGGTTGGTTAGTAAGTTGGTTGGTTGGTTGATTGATTGGTGGCTAGTTGTTTGATTGGCTGATTGATTGATTGATTAAACAAACGAATGTACAAACTAATGACTCTAAATCAGGGGTGGGCAAACGTTTTGCTGTGAGGGCCGCACGTTAGGAACTACTTGACCTTTGAAGGGCCGCACATGTACTCAAATAGCAAACATTTTCGACCCAGGGGAGATTTTTCTATGATTGTTTGCTCCTTTTTTTGGTCATAATGTCTGACTGGGAACCTTTTTTGGCGAACAAGACATCGCGAGTCGCATAAAATGGTAGTTTGCCCCCCCCCCATTGCTCTAAATATCTGATGATAATAATAACAACAACAACAACAAGACTTCCTTGATTAATAATAATAACAATAATATATTTTTTATTTCTTTCCATTATAAATTATTCTTAATATGCAAAGTTGTTTAATGTTTAAACGAAAAAATTGATAGATTATGATAAAAATTGAATTAATTAATTTATTCATTCATTTCATTTGTCATTCATTTATTCATTCATTCATTCGTTCATTTATTCGTTCATTCATTCATTCGTTCATTCATTCATTCATTATTATTATAGCTATTGCTGTTGCCATTCGTTGTCATGGTTTTTATTGTTATTGTTATTATTCATTAATACGATTATGCCAAATAAATTGATCAGAGAGATTTTAATTAATCAAAAATCCGAAATAAACAAGTGAATACAAGAATACAACTAAATACAAGTAAAGAAGTGAATACATAAAAATATACACATATACAAATACATACATACATACATACATACATACATACATACATACATACATACATACATACATACATACATACATACATACATACATACATACATACATACATACGTACATACACACATACATACATGCATACATGTATGTATGTTCACTCAAATGCTTGCCTGCGAATGGAAATTATTTAGAATAAAAGTTAAATATAGCTTAATTATTATAAATTTATTTATTTTTTAATTACTTTTATAACAATAGTAATAATATTATTAATATTTTTATATAAATTGATTGTTGATACAACTGCTAAGGTTAAAAGTAAGTATTTTTATATGTTAATGAATGAGTGAATGAAGATGAATGAATGAATGAATTGATGAATGTATGAATGAATTGATGAATGAATTAATGAATGTATGAATGAATTAATGAATGAATCAATATACAACCAAACGACTGAATGAATGATTGAACGAACGAATGAACAAAAGTGTAAAGTTTTAAACAGATGAATTGCTAGAATTATTTACACGAACTGATTACTTTCATTTTTTAATGAATGAGTGAATAAGTGAATGAATGAATGAATAAGTGAATGAATAAGTAAATGAATGAATGAATAAGTGAATGAATGAATGAATAAGTGAATGAATGAATGAATAAGTGAATGAATGAATGAATGAATAAGTGAATGAATGAATAAGTGAATGAATAAGTGAATGAATGAGTGAATGGGCAAATCATGCAACGACTGAATGATGTTTTATTTGAAGTGTTTGGTTAACGAAGTTGAATCAACAAAGATGGAAAAGGTGATGATGACGATGATGATGGTGGTGTTGGTGCTGCTGATGATGATGTTCATTGGCGATGATCATTATCATCATCGATACCATCATCATCATCACCATCGTTTATTTTAGTAGAAAAGTGAGAAAAGGTATTTTTTTTCATTGCAAATTGAATTTAATTTAATTGGGAGACGGCAAGTGACGTGGAGCGTACGTGCTGATTGGTTGGGCAAATACGAGCAAAAACACCTGATTGGTGGTTAACTAATTTAACCCACTTTTGATTGGTTGAATATTCAAAATTTTTTTTTAGGCGACTAACTAACTGAATGGTCAAATAATTTTAACTACATTATTGGTGATACTTTAAAGCCATACACACACACAAACACACACACACACATTTATACACACACATTCAAACACACACACATTTATACACACACACATTCATACACAGAAACACTCACACGCATTAAAAGAAAGTTATAAATTGAACGAATTTTGCTTTAGGTGCCTAACCAAAAAAAAGCGAAAAATGGCTAGCTGATTGAATTGAAAATTTTGACGGCCGGACACACAAACACACACACACGCGCACACATACACACACACATACATACACACACATTCACGCACACACACACGTACAAAATTTGGTACGTAACATGCACCGTGCAAGCTAAGACGATTTTTTTCAGCTTTCCATCGTTTCCATTCAATTTGGTTGGGGAATAATTGAGAGAGAGAGAGAGAGAGAGAGGAAGAAAAGAAAGATGAAAAGTTATAGAGAAACAATTAGAGAGAGAGAGAGAAAGAGAGAGACGGAATAATAGATGGTCAGATTGAATGTGCATTTAACTTAGTCAAATAAAGGAAGAGCCCGTGAATAAACATCCATCTTATACAAACATACACACATACAAACAAACATACAAACATACATACATACGTACATACATACATATATAAAATGCATACATACATACAAAAACTAATTGCCTTGTTTGGCTAGCAGGTTTGTGACGAACGACAAACAACAGAGTAAAAATATATGAAATAGAAGTTGCGGGCTGTTTGTATGTTTGTTTGTATGTGCATGCTTGTATGTATGTGTGTATGTTTGTTTGTATGTTTGTATGTTTGTATGTATGTAGGTATGTAAGTTTGAGTGTTTGTTTGTATGTGTATGCTTTCTTGCGTATACATATCGTCATTGTATCTGAAAAACCTTATTAATTTTTTCTATCTTTTTTATCATTGACATTAAAACTAGAGTTAGTAGTATCATCGTCATCATCATCATCGTTCTCATCAGCGTCGTCATCATCGTCATCATCATCATTGTCCCCATCATCGTCATCGTCCTCATCATAGGCATCCAATGTCATGATTTTGACAATGGCAATCTACAATAACCTAATTACCGTTTCTCTTTCTCTCTCTCTCGCTCACTCGTTCGTTTCTTCATTCCTTTATTCATTTTTTCATTCTTCAGTTTGTCATACTTTCAATCTATCTCTCATTCATCCATTCATTCATTCACTCATCCATTTATTCCTTCAGTTATTCATTAATTCGTTTATGACATAATTTACTCGTTATTTCGTTCATTCAATCATTCATTGATTCTTTCATTCATTTATTAATTCATTTATTTATTTATTAATTCATTAAATCCTTCATTCATCCATTTATTCATTCATCTATTCATTCATTCACAACAATAATAATAATAATAGTTCGGTTTTGAGTTTTGATTGAACAAGTCGATGGATGCCATCTTATCTGGATCAAAATTGCAATAAAATATTTTTAGGAGTGATCATGATAATGATGCTTTTGCCGGTAGTAATGGTAATGATGATCATTATTACTACGGTGATGATGATGATGATGATATTGATGATTATTATTATGATTATTATTATGATTATTATTATTATTATTACATTTTTAAAAACAGACTCGCCAATGCATCAGCGAATTATGAATATGGCAAGGACAAACATTCAAAAATGAATTTCGCAAAGTTTTTCCGCGCAAAAGCAGTCATTTCGTTGGTTATGTTGTCTTTCTTTTATACTCTCTTTTTGGCGCCAACCTCAATTCATGGAGTCAGAGAATTTTGGCGGGAAAGTATTCAGAGTAACGGTACCAAAATTATCAGCAACAGCAACACCAACAACATTAGTAGCAACAACAACAACATCAACAACAACATCAACAACAAAAACAAATCAGATGAAGCGATTATGAAGAGACTAAACAAGCGATCCATTGACTTAAAGAACGGTAATTTTCATCTTCATCATCATCATCATCATCATCATCATCGACAACAACAACTTCGCCATCATCATCAACCACAAAAACGACAAAAAGCGAAGCGTCGCCGTAGCAGTCACTACAACAACCACAACAGCACCGGCAAACATCAACAGCAAACCCTCTGCGTGATTAGCAACCACCTAACGACTGACGACAACTTCCACAGCTTCATCGCCAACATCACCAGCGACACTGGCGACAACAAAAACAAAATGGCGGGTCATTTAAATTTTGAATTTATTTTTCCCGCCAAATTGTGCTGCCCGAACGTACTTTTTTTTCAACACGATCAACTGAGCATGATAAACGACAGACTGACTTGCTGGGAAAAGGAGAATCTCGTTAAACAGGAAGAAGATAAATTATTGAGGTTTTTTGGTTAATTTGTTGATTGATTGATTGATTAATTGATTGATTAATTAATTAATTAATTGATCAATTAATTGATTGATTGATTGATAAGTTAATTTATTGATTGATTGATTGTTAATTAAAGGATTGATAAGTTGGTTTATTGTTTGAGAGCTTGTTTTGGCTGGTTGATAGGCCAATCATTTAGTTTGTTTAAATTAAAGTTTAATTTTTTTTTTATATACAGTTGACGTATTAATTGATTTATGGAAAATTCATCGTGGGGGAAAATTCATAGTGGATAATTCATTGTGGTATTCCTGACCTTCGTCAATGGACGCTCCGTCAGCAATCTATTAATGAACTTTCGAAAATAATTCACATTTCGACTCGTTTCAATTAATTTTGACGGATTTCAACTTTAATTCGAGTGAATTTCAAGCTATAATTGCACTTGCTCGGCTCGGCTCGCAATCGAACCCTCTACGAGAATATGATGATGATGATTCATTCTGAATCGAAATATGGCCTTATTTGCAGCATGAATTCGAAAAATAAGTTTATTTTGAATTTTAATAAACTAAACGTTCACCAAAAAACTTTAGTGAGAAAAATCGAAAAAACGAACTACAAACATAT